CGCTGCGCTGCGGCGGGGCGCGGAGGGCCACACCGTCCCTCGCCCCCACTCGCGGATGGCACGGAGATACACAAGCAGGCAATTGTTTAATATGGCGCTCAGCCCTTTGTTGGAAATGGTGCCACAGCAGCCGCTTTCTTTCATGATTCCTTTGGGTCGGTGGGTTTTTTTTTGTTCAATGGGCAGATGTGCGAAGTCCCTGATTGTTTCATTCGCGTAGTGTGTGTCTGTTTTGGATTTGCTTTCTCGTTGTTGTGATCACTGCTGCCTTCGTTGGCTGTGTTAGTGTATCCCTCTTTGCGCTTCTCTTCCTCCTGAGCAGATCAGTGCTCTGAATTCTATCTTTATGATGATGGTGATGCGGCACGTGTTGCCCCTGCTAGCCGTTGCGCTGTGTTGCGCATCCTTCTGCACGGCGGCGGAGGAACGGCTCTCTGTGACGAGACGGTTGTCGTGGTCGACGAGTTCGGGGAGGACTCCGGGGAAGGATCGCTCACAGGGGAGGCACTACGACTATGGCTCGGGGCGCCGCGACTATGGGCGTTGGCACCCCCCTGGGACGGTGATCCGCCACCGCCGCGTGAAGGTGAATGACGCACCGCTGGGCCCTCAGGAGTCCAAGGATGCGCACAATGCGGCGAGTAACGCCATGTCGATGGCGCAGGAAGGGCGGAATGTCGTGAAGGCGGCAAAGCAAAGGGTGGCCATAAGCAAGACGGCAGTGGAGGATGCCCTGGCAGAATCCGTACTCGCCAATACGGCCGCGGCTGAATCCGTGAATGCATTTGAGGCGCTAATGAAAGCAATGGCTGAGAGGGAAGCCCAAAGTCTTCCGTTGGTGCAAGACCCCACGCTTCGGAACAAAGTCGGAACGGCCGTAGACAGTATCTTTAAGATGGCAGATCAGTCTGGCCGTGCCAGTACGCAGTGCTCCGAGGCAGCAAAACAAACGGTGACGGCAGCGGGCGCCGAAAATACGGGGATTCGGTATCTTGAACTAACGTTGAATCATGTCACGGAAACGAAGGAGAAGTTCGGTGCGGCCCACAGAAACACTACGGAAGCAGAAGACAAGGCTACTTCTGCCATTGAGAAAGCACAGCGATCTTCTCGGTACGGCGTGAGTGCGCACGGCCACGCAGCTGAAGCGCAGCGCCACCTTGATGCTGCGGTGGAGCGTCTGCAGTCTGCATACGCACACTACAGGGTCGCAGCAAAGCTCCCCGCGTCCACGCCGGCGGCAGAGACTGCGATTGATAAAGCACTGGGCGAAATCAAGGCCGCTTCTGGACACACCCGCACGGCCGTGGCGAAGGCACAGGAAGCACTTCATGAAGCCAGCACCGCATTAAAGGACGCCGAGGCTGTGGAGACGTATGCCGAAGCGCTAAAGGGGATCATTGAGGTCGTACAAAAGACTGCTGAAAAGGAACGGAAGCGAGCCAATCCGGAGGAGAAGTGGCCACTTGTGTTCAGTATCCCGAGGCTGCAACAGCGAGAGCCCGAAGAAGAAGAAGAGAGTGGCCAGGCGAGCATTTCTCAGGACGATTCCGTTCCTGCTGCTGCTGCTGCTATTGCTAAGCGCACTCCGCATGCGGCGTATGGAGAGAGCATGGCCACAGGTGGAGCGGCCGGGGATGAAGATGGCAGGGGTACACACCGCGAAGCAGTGCGCGTGAAACGTTACGGCACTGTGGAACGGCCTGAAATGGTGCTATCCACAAGGGGCATGACTGCACAGCCACACAGTGATGAAACGAAAGCCGAACCTGTCACCACGCCCTCTTCTTGGGCAGCTGCTGGCGTTGTTGCTCTCTGAGAGCAACTGGGCGGCGCTGGCAGTGCTGACGCCGGCAGCAGTCGCGCGTGGGTGAATTTGTCTCTCTGACAGCAAGGCGAGCAGTGTGTGGACGGGGGGCCATTCCCCTTTAATTCTTGCGTATGTGGAAAATGAGTACACGCAAGCTTCTTTGTTTTTGTTTTGTTCTCTTTTTCTTTGCTGCTCTTCTACGGGCCGTGCACCATTACCTTCATTTATTTGCGACCCGCACCATTCTCCTCCGCACTGAAGGGGTGCACTTCGTTTTTTTCTCTTTGCTTGGGCTTTGCATCGCGCATTGCCGTGCATCGTCCTCTGGATCATTAGTCCCCCCTCTTCGTCTCTTTTTTGCGCTACGCCACGATGCGCGTGTTGGACTGATGTAACCTTTTTCTTCTCTTTTCTACACATGTATGACGTCACTGTCATGTTTTTTTTTTTTATTTCTGTTCGAGTTCTTTTGAGTCTTTTCTATTGGCCACTGAGCGACGCCTTGGGTCTGGGGTTCTAAAGGGATTTCTTTCTGATTGTGGACAAGCTGCGTGTGGTGCCCTGTTCTGCTGTCTGTCTGTGTGCGTGTGTGTGTGTGTGTCATGCTGTGCGTCTCTTCTTCCCCTCTGTGGGCCGATGGGCTCTAAGCAATACTGACGGTGCCGATTATTGTGCTGCGCGCGCAGTTGTGTGACAGCTGAGGATATGGCTCGGGATGTCGCAGAGACGCCTCAGGTACAGCTTGAACGCGTGAAAGACATTGCAGAGTATGCCAGGCATGGGGGTACATGAGGTCAAGGAATGGGCAACTGATTTTTATGCAGAAATAGGGAAAGCGAGGACTGCGGTGAAGCGTGCGCACGAGAAGGCCCTTGTTCTCGGTCACACGGTGAAATCCAGGAGCATTGGAGGCGCCGCCCAGGACATAAGCAGTGTGAAGGATAATGTGGCGAAGCAGGCGAAGGATGCGGTGGGGGAGGTAAAGAAGGCGCTGGACGCCTTTTTTTTTTGCTGTAGGGAAGACAGCTTCTTTTTTTTTTCGATGTGTCGGTGTCACGTGCGGTCCGCCACG